ACTCGGTTTACAAACCAGGGTGCAGTGCTGGGCAGTGTTAGGAGCACAGTTCTATAGTTCAAATCACTCGGAAGTCCAAAGGCCACTGTGATAGGGCTCAGGATGACAGGTGCTGAATCAGTTCTAAATAACCTATTGTAGAAAAGCCATTCAGTGTGACCAGTCCCACAGTGGAACAGCACCTGTGTTACACCTCAGTGACTGACACAGTCTCAGACATGGCATCATCAATGACTTCAGTAAAAGGAGAAGGGAAAGAGTGCCACTTTCCATGCCAAGCACCTGTTTCCTCAAGACTGGAAAATCAAATTACATTCTTCATCTTTGCAATTGAGCTGTTACCTGGGATGGGAATCTGGTCTGCTGTGCCCAAGTCTTGATTTCCCTGATGGCAGATAGGCCTTGGGATCCTCTGCAGAGCCAGCATTACTGGCATTAACCTGAAGCCCTTTGCCTGTAGACTAAGTGGTTATCACGAAAGCCGTGCAGATGAAAGACTTGTCCCGAAAGAGGCAGCAAGATGAAATCAATGTGTCCACACTGATCTACAAATGAAATCTGCATATTTCTGCATATTTGGGGTTCTGCACCATTTGGGACATACTGGAACTCCTATAAGTCCACAGCCCCCCAGCTGGATACATGGCACAAATGCCAAAACGCTCCACGAGGCAGCTACTGCTTGTGAACCTGCAAAGGTAGTTTTCCTCCTGGCAGTCAGATGGAAATTCAGAGGCTGCCAGAGAATAATCTGGAAACAAAGTCTGCTCCTTGGCAGTTTTAGTATTTTCTCTATAGTATCAATGGCACCTAAGACATGCATTGTTGCAGCTCTGGGTTGTCTTAAACACTTCTGAACCCGCTGCTTCTGCTACTGAGAAAGCTTTTTTTCCCCCACAGCTTTTCCATTAACCAAACCAAACATCTCACTAGAACAAGTTATTGCAGACAATATTTAAATGGACTAATTTTAATCTTACTCTGCTCTGCCAGGACTTATCAGTTACCTTTGTCTGGTTTACTGAGGTGGTAAACTCTCTGCTCTTAGTCTGCGTGTTTAAGTCACTACACAATGTCTTTCAGTTCTGGTCAGCACCTCGTTTGATCATATATTTGTAATCCTGCCAAGAAAAATATCAAAGGTCATTTGTCCCTTCTAGGTGGGATGAATGTATGAAACTGAAGAAAAACAATAAATAGCAAGAAAATGAACTTGCAAGCCAAACAGTTTTTCCCCTTAGTTAGATAGTGTTGGGACATCCATGTTGGACCTTCTTAATTGTGTCTGATGGTTGTGCTATGGAGTCCTTGAAAAGCAAAAGGCAAATATATACATTCAGATGTAGGCAAAATACCCTCCAAGACAAGTGGGTGGAAACTCTAACAAATAAGATCAGTATATGTAAAACACAGAAGAAAACAGAGAAATTCTTGTGATCTGAATTCGAGAGTGACGTTTCTTGTGAGAGATGCTTTTGTCTTCACGCAATTTTTTATGCAAATAGGGTAGAAATTGGCTAGAACATGGAAAATCTGATGTGTTTAGAAGATTGAGAAAACTATAATTGGATTGCTTGGACAAAGTGTACCACAGACAAAGAATGTATTTAACTCTGAGCCTAGGTCTCAAACTGTATTTTAGAAGAGCACAGGATATTGAATACATGTCAATCACCTTCAGTTCAAAAGCCTGTTTTCACTCAAATGGTCAGGCTGTCTTGTTAGTGATATGGGAGATTTTTAAAGTAAGAATTGTGGAGAAAAAATTATATCAATATATGACACTAAACCAGCTAAACTATATTAAGACAGATAATACTCAAGTCAGCTAGGTTCTACTTCTACCACAGATCTAAGACTTCATATTCACAATTGGTATGACTATCTGTGTGCACAGAAATAGATAAAGAAAGAGCTCCAACTAATCAGAAATAATTCAAAAACCCCCAAAGAAGAACTAGTTGGATAAATATGTGACAGCCAGAAAACTAGAAAGCAATAATGAAAGGTCTAGGACCAGCCAGCTTTGTTCTGAGAGCTATAATATCATCTGAAAGACAATATTTCCAAAAGAAAGTTGGATAGATCAGCACTGGAAGAGATTATCCCATTTTAAAGAACATGGTCTCATGCTGATATCCACAATGGAAGTGATGTGCAAAGCACAGACACCACAGAAGAACATTAGCAGTAGGAACAACAAAAGAAAACTATTCAAAGCAGAAGAGTTAGAAACTTCTTGAAGAAGCCAAAACAAGTAAATGAACAAAAACTAAAACCAAATAAAGAAAAACACCCCAACCCAAAAAAAAAAAACCAACAAAAAACAACCAAACAAACACTATAAAGTGTGAGCCGAGATGTTCATGCATCTTTTTAACTTTCATTGTTGTAGCTGAGACCATGGACTGATTAAAACTTGCAGCTGCAAGACCAATCAAAAAGCCACACCAGACACATGAAGGAAATACAGAATTAGAAAACAGGAACAGTACAATGAGTCTAATAAGAAAGAAATAAACAGCACAGAAATATTTTCTGATCAATTCAATAGAAACTTTCAAGTTACAAGGCTTGAACCTACTTCTCTGACCTCAGCAATATCAGACACTGACCAGAGCTACTAACTAATTTCCTTTTTTTGAGGTGTTGTGATTAAAATTAATCATTTACCTTTAGTTCTGCTTGGACAGCAAAGCCTTGTTTGCCACCTTTACAGCAGGTGTGGCAGCAGTATTTGTCTTCCAAGTCTGACAATGCCAGTATACATTTTTGACCCTAATAAAATTCAGATAAAGATTCCTCAGTCACTGGAGTGCCCCACTTGAGTAGCCCTGCTACCAGGGGTTTTAAAAATGCATCAGAAAAAAGGTTGCATAAAGTGTGTAGAAATATCTCATTGCAATCTTGTAGTACAATTTTATGCATAAATAGAATACAATCACCTTGTCCTAATAGGACTGGAGATAATGGGCACAAACTGAAACATGGGAGGGTCCCTCTCAACATCAGGAAACACTTATTTTACTGTGAGAGTGAGAGAATGTTGTCACAGGTTGCCCAGTGAGGTGGTGGAGTCTCTCCTTTGTGCAAAAGCAGCATCCCCAAAAGCCATCTAGAGACTCAGTAGCCCACTCTAGGTGGCCTTGAACAGAGAGGGTTGAACATGATAAAATCTGGTGGCCCAACTAACCTCAGTCATTCGGTGATTCTGTGATTCATGGAGAAGCAGGATCAAATAGAATAATTATTTTTTCTCAGTAGTTAACCTTTTTGGAGGGATGTTGTTTTATGAGGAAGGGACATGGGGTGTTGGGAGAGATATTTTTACATGCCTGAAAGAGAGGATACCTTCTCTAATACCTTAGATCTTACTAGCTGTCCATGTGAATAACTGTGGGCCTCAAGCAATATGTGGCTTCAGCATCAGGTAGATTATGTCTGTAGTATTGAGCTGGCAGCTGGTTCAGGTCTGCCCCCTGGGCCCAGAGAGCCATGAGACTGGCCACAGAGACCATGACAGAAAGAAACCATGGAGCGCTTGGGCAAATACGAACAGGAGTCGTGGTACCACCCCATTTCCCACCTCCCTCTGATGAGAACTTCTCTCCCACGGTGAAGCACCAATATGGAAATACCAACACAGTGTGGAGACCCTCAGGAGCTGCTGTGAGACACACAGCCCTCCCAGGAGAGCAGCTGGCCTTGCACCTCCCGTATCCCCAGGAGCATTCATGCCCTGTAGTTTGCAGACATGCTACAGCTGCTGGCATTCGGCTCTCTTAAGCTCCCTAGCAGCCAGTCCAGCTTGAACCTCACCCAAGCTCACACAGAAAGATCTCATTCACACACAAGGAATGATTTACTGAGAAGACAGGATCAAACATGCAGGGCATGGCTAAAGAAGCAGCTGACTACAGTCTGTTTGCACAGAACCAATCCCTCTTATGCACTTATCCCCTATTTTCCCTTTCCTCCCAAATCTATCTTGATCCTCTAATTTCCTTGCCTTTCTTCTTTCTAGTAACCAACTTACAATAAATTTTGAGCATTTCCATAGTCCCCTTTGAGCATGACAAAATAAATTGTAGGAAAAGTGCAAATACTCTTACCCGGGATACTGATCCTTGTCAGCCCCGACCCCTAAGGTGAGGTGATGGGAACCTTCTCACTGACACATGACGGGGGTCCCCCTGCCAGTGGGCACTTCCCAGGGAAAACTGGAGAGAACAGAGTCAGGTCAGTGGTGCCTGGGTTTTCCCTACATGCCAGTGTGCCCCTCTGCTCCTATGTCTGTGGAAATGAGCATTTGCTCACAGAATGGGTAAGGTTGGGAGGGACAACAGTAGGGTCATCTTCTCCAACCTCCCTGAGAGCACACTGTGCAGGAAATTGCATATATCAATGAATAGTTTAGGGTAGAATTCGTCACACTTAAATTAAGCCTTGTATAATCAGTTGTCCAACATAAACTGCCTCTCCAGTCATTGTAAGAAAAGAACTTCTACCTCTCAACACCCCTCATGCTGGGAGGGATTGCTCTCTGGAACTCCTATATGTCTCACTGTAACTATGAGCACTAAGTCTTCTTGCTTAGCTTTGAAATATCTAAAACAGGTTGAAAGTAATCCTAGCTTTAGGAAGAGAGATGCTCTTCCTCATGAACTCCTGGCTCCAGGCAGGGCTCTGTGTAGGGTGTTGTATGGCAAGAAGAGTGAAAAGAAGATGTCAGAAATAATAATCACAATCACAATTTTGTATCAAAAGTAGAAACTGTGTTGTTTTTTGGTAAGCTAGCCAGGCTCATGTTAACTACATATGTATGCGCACATCGATATGTTAAATACTGTTCTGTTATTTAAAGAAACACAGGTTATGCAGGGACTGATACCTGCTGACTGGTGCTGAAGTACCTTTACATTTTACATAGTTATAAAGGAAAAGCTTTTCTATCACAAGAACAGTACATTCTTTCCAACACCATTACAGATTTCATTTTATTAGCATGGAAACCAGAAGTTTGTCTTCAGGAAGCGTGTAACTCTCTTCTTATTAAGGTCAAACTCAAATTGCTTTCTTCCACTGAAGAAATAAAGGAAGTCTAGAAAAAAAAAAAACAAACAATAAAAACCCATACCAGATGAATTATGATATTGCAGATATAATGGTTAGTACACTTTAACAACATCCTCAAAGAGCTCAAAGCAACCTTTGGATATAATTATGCTGCCAACAGCATCTACTCCCAGGTGTAACCTCTGCAACACATGGCCCAGCAGCATGGAGACACACTCCACAGCAAACCAGCCATGCACGCGCTGCATCATGTACTTGATGAGCCCCACAAGGTCAGTCTGCAAAGGATGTATCCTGTGCATTTCTTTAGTTTAAAATATCTACTCTTACACTCCAGCTGTGCTGCACCCCCTCAGCAGGCTGCATTTCTAGCCACCTGTGGTTAGGTATTACACAGACCAGTGTGGCACAGAGCACAGCAAGGTGTGAGCAGGATGTTTGATGGGTGCTGCCAGATACCGTGCAGGGAAGGAGAGGTCCAGCCTGGGCTAGTCATGTCCACACTGCCCTCTTGGCAGTGGAGTGTCTCAGCACTGTGTGTGAGACTCATTTAGGATGAAGAAGTAAGATTTGCTATGAAACAATTAACTTGCAAGGGTTTGGATGAGCAGCAGATGAGAAGCAAGGAGGCAACTGGGAAGCTGCGACATGTGGCAGTGTGAATGTATCCTCAAGTCTAGTCCAGCATTTCCATGTCTAAGTAACACTCACCCTCCTGCAGGAGAAGCTGGTGCTGACTGTTTTATGTCAGAGGGACAGGCTGTGAGTGGTACACCTTTCGTTACTGAGATGTCACTGTGTGGAGTGTTGAACTTCATGGTGTGATGTGCACATCAGCATGAATACAGACACATCTCTCCCTTAGAGCTGGCCTTTCCAGATGTGCAGCTGTCACCAAAGGTGACATCACCATTTTTCAAGGGGGTAAAGTGAAGCATGGGAGTGTTATGTGACTGCTTCAGGGTCCTGTTGGTCATCCTATGGGTTCTGAGCAGCATGTAGAAGTGCCTGTATCTCCCTAAGCACTGTCCACCCTATCCCATTGAGCATTTCTTATAGATTTTAGCAAGAATAGTTACTCACTTTCTTGTTGAAAAACAGCATCGATCTTCCCATTGATTCCTGGAAAGGCATCTCTTATCAGTAATGACTTCCTATCCATAAACTGACTTCTTTCATCATAACTGAGAAAAATGATGAACAAACAGAAGTCAGTGAAACTTGCAAACAACTCATGATTAATTCCTCTCAGCTCATTATCTTCTACCTATCAACAGCTAACCAAATTCCTTGAAGATTTTCAGTGCCATTTGGTAGTGTAGAAAGAGACACAATTGGCCATAAATTTGTTATCACTTTATTAGCTGCAATGGATGAATTGGTTCTCTTTACTCCACCTAAGAATACCTAATATTGCAACTATCACCATGAATCTGTTTTTTATTTTTCTAAGAGACCATGCCTAAAGGTGTGATATATAATATATTATAAAAAGATTTCTTTCACATTATATTTCTGTAAGAAAGGTTTATCAGGAAAAATCTGGGCTTTTTCTGAAGTTGTAAGGTATTTTAAGTCAATTTACTTAAGTTATATACAGCAAGCTATTACATTTTTGGTGAAATGTGGTTCATCTATCAGTGCTGGAATAAGAAGGCTTGTAAAAGCTTTTGCCTTCTATAATTTCCTTAACAGGAGATTTAATGATCAAACTCTTAATCATTCAAGTTACAAGAGTTTGACCTAAAATGGGGAAGTCTGATCTTCTGCTTAAAGTACAGATATGTGGCTGAATAATTCTCTAGAGTGATTCTCTAGAGTGATCTTTGTATATACAATTGTTTGGACATTGTAGAGGAAGGTAAAAGAAGTTTTGTTGTTAATCTAAAATAATTCAGGTTGTTTACTGCTTCCATTACAGGAGCACCTTCTTTGGCTGTATGTCCTGTAAGACAAACTTGAGCAGTAGGGATGGGATTGAAAAGAAAAGAATAATAACCATGCACAGCACATAATTCTTTGCAGTACATGGTATTTATCAGCAACTTTATGGAACTTTCTGTTAGTAACGGGAAAGTGGGTGACATTCTCCTTTGTACTCCACAGGAACTTATTTGGTATGTGAATAGTGAACTTCTGCCTGATTTCCTGAGATGATTTGTGGAATTGTACAATGACATTTTAACCAAGACAGCTAAATGAAAACAAACAAACAAATAAACAAATGAACTGTTAAATTAACTAAAAGGAAAACTAAAAGCACTGCTCTACCTCCTTTCAAATATTTTTCTACAGGCAGTTGTGACACTGAAAGAGATCACCCAAAGTGTCTGACTAATGCATCCTAAATCATGACAGGATATTGATTATGTGATTATGTTTGCTTCCATTTAGAAAAGTACCAGAGGAAATATTACCTCCAAAATTTGTCTGCTATGAAGTAATATGTTGTCCCCTCAATTCCATTATGAAAAGCAGCATCAATTTTGGAAACATCCTTTGAAAAGCCCAGGTTGTAGAGGTTTTGGGGGTATCCAGGAAGTATGGTATCTCCTCTCACAACCCAGAATTCATTCCCTATTAACAAAAGTTGGTAACATGTTGTGAGAATCTTCTTCTGAAAATGACACAATCTTTTCATGAAAACTGATGGTTACTTGAAACTGAAAATAGCTCTAGAGACAAAAAAGAAAAAAACAAAAGCAATAGTTCTCCACATTACTTTTTCTGAAAACTGAAATTTCAGTCTTTCTTCATATTAATACTAGTATCATTCTTAAATTCAATGGAAAATTTACCAGAAGAAAAAATAATGAAATTTATTTTGGCAGGGAAAATTTTCAATGTGGATATTAAAAAATAAGATATGTGTTCTTTTACTTGGACAATAATTTTATTATTTCTGTGATTGAAACACACCAATTTATTGGACTAAATCCAAGATTGCAGAATCCTACAGAAAGAACTTAAGTGTTTTTGAAGCCAGATGCAAACTCTCTAGGCTACTGGGGAAGACAACACGGGAAAATAAAAAGACAACATTTTACCTTTAAAAATGACCATTTCATCTTTTTCAGCAATTTCATATGCAGCATCAACACCAGGTGGCAGCCGTGGCCAGAATGAAGATATCAACTCAAAATCAGCTGTTCTGACTGCTGGATGTTTGCGCCAAATATGCCTTGTGTAAGTACAGAACAGGTTTTAAATAAAATTGGATGTTCACACTCACTAATGCATGAAACCACATGATGAAACCAGGGCAATTTTTATCTGATCAAATCCAGCTATGTGCCTGAGTTAGTCACACTACATTCCCTGTAAACTTAATGTAAAGACTGTTATTTCCAGGGTGGGATAGCTCTCTTCTTGATGTAGACATCTAAAATAGGTCAGATGAACTGTTTTGTCAAAACATTTATTTCCCCTTATGCAGAAGTGGAGCTTAGAAAGACCTGTTTCACAAGGCTGATACGTGGTAAGACTTGCGTAACAAAACCCCAATTTTCCTTTGCTTTTATTCATATACTAAATCCTCACTACAGGGGCTCTTCAAGCAGGTGTTTTATCAGGGCTGGTAAGCCCTCAGGTCTCTCAAAGCAAGGACAGCAAAGAGGCTCTGAAGTGTCCCAGAGTTTGTGATGTGTTTTGCCAAAGCTGAACTCTCCCAAATGCTGAACACTTGATACTTGCTTATAGCCTGAAGTGAAAACAGCACATGTTTGCAGAGGAGTCATTTTCTCCCACTCTATTTATAGCATCCCCTGTTCCAAAGGTCATCCTCCTCCTTATACTTATCTCTCTTCATTTCTCCACCACCATCTTTGTTTTTATTTTCCATCTTTTTTTCTGATTCCTTGTCTTGTCTTCCTGTCTGAAATGGCTGATATTCTAATTAAAGTTATACTTCTGTGCTGTGGGGCATAATTTAAAAAGTGGCACTCAGGTATTTTACTTTCAGAAGCTGACTTACTTGTCTTTAAAGAACATTATTTCTCCACGGAAACTGGTGACAGCATCAAACGTCAAATTAGAGCTGCAGCTATTTGGCAATGCAGGATCTTTTGACTCAGCTGGGTCTTTTATCCCAGTAGATTCTGTTTGATCATTGTTTGTGTTGGGAGATGATCCTAAAAGAAGCAGTTTATGGAAGAAATTATAGTGTGGACTCATTGACGTATGTCCAGTACAGAAAGGTATCTGAAGTCATTGAAATTACAGGCAGAAGTTGATGAAAAATTTTGAATTACCATAGAGGTACTGTATGCCAGTAATATCATCCTGATTAAGAAGGAGTACTGATGGGTCAAATTTCCTGTAAACTGGATACATCAGAGCATTGGGGTCTTTGGAATGGGAAAGTCCCAGTGAATGACCAAACTCATGCGCAGCAACATAAAATAGGTTCGTGCCTGAAAACATCAAACAAAACACATAACAGGAGAGCTGTCTTTGTATTTGTCCTGAAAAACATGAAGAGCATAAGGTAGGGCAGAAGCTTTCAAAACTGCTTGCCCAAGCAAACAAACTTATTGTGGGAAATTTGGTTGGAGATGAAATTCTGATCAGAAGTAAAAATAATGGAATCATTATAGGGGAAATAGTGTGTAGATCCTGCAGAACTCAATGTAGAAGAAGGATCCTGGGCCAGTGCAAGTGAGGTAACTGTGGAGGAAGAGGTTTGAGGAGTGGGAAAAAGTGGGCCACCCTTACAAATAAAGCTCCCCCCAGTGCATGGCAGAAGCTGAGCTGGGGCCTTAACTTCTTAAAACAGAGATTCAGAGGCTTTTTATAACTATGCAAACCATATGCTCCTTCAAATCAGTGGCAATTTAAACACTTCTTAAGAAAGAGAGGAGACAGACACTGCACCCTTGATTCCATGTGCAATTTGCTTCAGGAAGGGCTTGGAGAACTGAATTACCTACCTTCTGTGCTTTTGGTCCATGTTTCATCCTCATCAAAGTGAGCATCTCCACCAAAGTCCTTGCCAGGTGCATAGGCATGGGCCAGGGAGCCTCCTGGGCCATCAAAGGGGATGAAGTCATTGTGACCTGAGAAGCAAACCCCAAACACAGCTGACTAAGGTGCACACATTGAGCAGCACACAGCAGGTATAGACTCAGTGAACTACTGGCAGCTCCCTAAATTTTCTTCCACTTCCTCTTCATCTGCCTCTATGCCCTCCCCCAAAGCCTGTCAAGAGTTGTAACCATAGCACCTTGAGCAAGGGCTGTATTTTTCTGTCTGCTTGTTCAACTGGACATTGATCTCCACATGTGCTATGTGCAGGAGAAATCATTCCAGGTGAGCTGCTCCATGTAGGCAGTAACTTGGCAATAACTCCTAATGGTCACATAGAGATTTACCTCTGGCTGCAAAGGAGATCATTATGTCTGCATCTCCTCTGTCCTTCTTGATGAATCTTAGCGGGGTCACTCTGCTCCAGACACGTAACGCTTTCTCGATCGCTGCGTTGACATCTGCTGGACGCAGGTCTGGTGTGTAGTTTACTATCCTTTGAAATACAGGAGAGAACAAGTTGTGTTGTTGCCACTCACCCTGTACTTCACACTGTCTTGACATGAAGAATTCCATTGTGATTACCTGTATGTCAGGACATGTTTTGTCCATTTTGGCTCTCCTGCAAAGGTGGAGAACCCAGCTACATCAGGGACTCCGCAGCGGTGTTTCTGTACCAAATCCAAAGTGCCAGAATCCAATTTTCCTGTCACCTCCAGTCCAAAGAATTCCTGCATTTCTTTTAGTTTTTGGGTCATTGCATTATTACTTTTCCAAACAAAAGGTTCTCCATCTTTCTTAAAGCCATAATAATTTTCCAGGTAATTCTAATGGAAAAAACCCAAACAAACCCAAAGCTTAGAACAATCAATGATGTTTGCTTTTGAAGCTTTTAAGACATTAAATTAACACCAGTCAGTCATGTATTCTTTGCTACTTATCTTTCTGTTTTATGGCAGCATGGATAATAGTTTGTTAAAGCCTGCATGAATATTTTTCTCTTAATGGTAGCTTTTTTCCATTGTATTATCATTATAAACATTTTGTAGTTATCAAAATACATTTAAAATTAGCATTTGTTTAATAGATTATTTTCTGATAGTGTGTCCTTCACTTACCCTGCCCCCAAGGTTACCTGGAATCCTTTAAAGGAAGCAATTTGAAATACATAACTGAATATAAATTTTCAGTAGTTGTATCCTGTTTCCCCACATTTTAGACAGTATTAGTTCAGGAAAATATACTAAACTTACCTCATGAGGAGATATGTTTCATAATATCACAAGTCATATAAATAACCACATTTTTACCTGAACTACAAACCAACCCCTGACACAGAAATTTAATTATTTGTAAAACTAACACAGAAGAATTCATCATCAAATTTAATTGGTCACTAAAAAAAAGTAAAATAACATGGTGCTAAAGTAGTCTTTCTCACCACACACCTATTTTGAGAAATATTCAATCAGTTATTTATTCTACTTGCTTTTTGGCTGCTCGATACCAGTTACACAGACTGCCATGGATGTGCAACAGTACCTAAACATCTCCCCAGAGCTCTGCCTTCCTCACCTGGATAAGCTGCAAGCCTTCTTCCTTTGTCTGCCTTCTATTTGCAGGAAAAGCACAAGAAAGTGCTGCACATGATAATAGGAGAAATGGGAGATTTCCCACTTTCATTTCCACTAGCCTTCATGGAAGTCTTTTTTGTAGTCTGCCACACACCTGGTTCACCTTTATATAGTGTTTTTTTTTGCTTTATAAAGCTTTCCAATCCCTGACTCATTGATTCTCACAATGTCTAGTTAGCAACAGAACATGCAAAACAAGAGTTTTACCATAAAACAGATCAGTGCTGTCTTTCATCCGGTTCCACCCTTGTGCAGGTTTTGCAACATGGAAATATGATTAATGAGAAAATAATAGACCTGTAAATATTTTTAATGAGCTTACTAACCTTTTAATTGTTAAAATGTGATCTTACTCTCCAAAACTTAAAGCATATCTCTTTAATGCTTTCCATTCAAAGATATTATTGATTTCAAAAAGGTTGTTGATGTGCCTAAAGGGATAAATATTCACAGAATGTTACAGAACTGTAGACTACAAACAGAAATTAGTTTTCTACCTTTTTTTTTTTGTGGGGGGAGGGGGGGGCCAATTTTGGGCCAACAATGGTCCCCTTGGGAAAAGCCCGGCAAGGCCAAAAACCCCTGCTTAATGAGTCAATGCTTTGTTTATGCAATTTTTTAAAAGCAGCTTGCACTTGGATGAAACGATCCTGTTTTTCTGCAGAAAAATGTGAAATTAACACAAATAAATGAAAGCACTTTCCCCAGCATATGTAAAACTTATAAAAATGGAGCCAAGATATTTTCATGCTATTTTTATTCAGCAGTTTTTACACTATTCTTATTGCCAAAACACTTTATTTCACATTGTCTTCCTTTGATACATACCGTAAGGTTTTAAAAAGCACTCAGGTTTTAAAAAGCACTGATCAAACTCTTTGATGGCTGTTCTTGTCAGAGAGAGATTCCTACGTTGTCCCTTCCTGCCATTGGTGTAAGAACTGCTGAGACTCAACAGCAGACCCACTCTACATTGGGCCCACTTTTCCTCCATGCCCAGTCACAACCTCCATGCACTACCACAGACAAGGACAAAGCCGTGGGGATGGGAGTCCTGAAAAGAGATGTTCTTTCTTACATATCTGAGATTTCTCTGTGGGGCTGACACAGGATTTTGGGTAAGCCAGCAGCGCTGAGGAGCAGGTGAGACTTGGAATGTGCAGGGAGATAAACTCCCTTCCACAGACCTTCCAGGATAATAGAGATGTGAAAGGAGAGTTTAGCAATATATTGTACACTTGAGGTATTTGCTGAAATTATATCCTGCTGAAGAGCACTGTGTTGGTACCAGAAGGATCTCCAGAGCACAGCATCCCTGTAGCCTTCCACAGGCAGGACATGAGGGATTGCTGGGTCTGGGCAGCTGAAACAGCGAAGCAAGGCTGATGGGATTCCACAAGGATTATCTGATAAATGAGGACTGAATTCTTACCCTAAGAACAGACATTTACCTGAGGCATTTCCACCAGGGAGAGAACCCCTCCCTTGTCCCGGAAGGAGATGGACAGGCTCAGGGAATGACCCAGAAATGGGCCAGCTGAGTCAAGGGGAAGCAATCCCCTGAGGGAGATTTTGGTAATGACTTCATTCACAGAGTTATGTGAGGTGTACCAGATGGATCCAAAAATTGGTGTAGCATTCTCCTGTGCAGTTTGCACACTGACAGCACCTCTCTGCAGAACTAGTTTCTGGAACTTACAGCCCCCACAGCCTTCCAACTCTTTTTTTCTCATCCCTCAGTGTCTCCATCTGTACTAGAAGGAAGAAGTAACTTTCCAGGACTTAAATTTTCATCACTCATCTTTCTTTCTAATAAGAGGGCTACTAAAAGGCATCAAAACCATCTAGGAAGATATGAATGAAATTTATATAGTTTTCTGGTTATCAGCTTTCTCAAGTACATACTTTTGCTACTCTGTCAAGCTTTCTCACTTTTCTTGATACTATTCCCCATTTATCTTGAGAGATCCATCACCTAGAATATGCTGTATAAAGAAAATTCTGTAATCACAGAGACCTTCTTTGATGTTTGTCACCTCTTTGAGGTGACTTTACCCACAAATGGCACAATACATAATGTCAATCTCTGGTTTTATATTAAAAAAGCCATTGTGAAAACTACTATGTTCTTGTTTTTACAACCTGTGAAATCGTCTGGGTAAACTCCTAGGATTGCCTTTATCTCTTCCTCTTCTTGAATTAATCTTCTGCCTTGAATGCATTCCCATCGCCCCACCCTAAGACATATAACAGAAGACATATAATGTATAACACAACATATTTATTGTTATTATTATTATTAACCTTAACACAAAAGTTATTGCTAATTCACATTTTAAAAATTGCTAATTCATATTTTAAAACTAATTAATAATGTAGTATAGACAAAAGAAAATAATATCTCATAGAGCCTCATAGGATGAAACTAAGTTGGGTTGTTGCACAAAGCCAAGGGCTTAATTACTCAGAGCTTGAAACTGCTCCTCTCTGCTGCCTCTGTGTCTGGCCAGGCTGAACTCTGGTAGTGTAGGACCCCATGCTAAACCCTGGGGATCAGATCTGTGCAGGGGAAACTTCTGAGCTGTAAAACTGCAGCTTTAATCTGTGCCATGTTCAGTGCCATGAACATTGCTTAACTCGGTGCCTTCAGCACCTCCTTCCTGGCTGTGCTGCAAACCCTCAGACCTGGCAGCGCAAACCTAGACTCAAAGATTTCTTATTGCTGACAAAGATGAATATGTGACCTACTTCTGGCTTTTATATAACAGTTATGGGTCTCTAGCATGGTAATGCTGATTCCCTGGCAGCATTCAGTGTTCCAGTTCCAGTCAGCTTGCGCACAGACCACCCTTGCTCTCTGTCAGTGAAGTCATTGAGGGATTTTTGAGATTTTATGTGCGAGAGATTTGGTCCAGGTCAACTGTTGTTGCAGTCAAGAATTTTAGATGTAACAGGTTATATTTTGTGACTCTAATTTGCATGCCTGCTTTTGGATTCCAAGGAAAGTTTCTATTCATACATGACAAGTACTTGAAATTCTGTTTGTGGATAAATTTCCCCTGTTGGCACCCAAGAGTCCTTTAATTCCAGCAATAATTTATGAGTTATAACAAAATCATGGTTACAGGAAATATTCCCTTGTTCACTGAGTATAGACAGACAGCTCCAGCATTCCCACTTTCAATGTTTCCAACGTCATCTCAGCTACATCTTCCATTTGCCAGGAATTTCATTGCTTTTCCTAAAATGAAGTAGTGCTGCTTCATTTCAAAGTTTAAGACATTACCAAAGCAAAAATACAGACAGAAATTCCATGATTAGCACATCTCACTGGTCCCCTTGTCTACGTGAAATCCATGGCATGTTGTCATCCATTTCTGCTCTGGGCTACATTTTTCTTCATAGCTAAGTAAATATCACTCATTTTTCAGACATTGTGAGTTTTAGCTAATTAATGCTCAAGGTGGAGGGAGTATTTTAATTTTGCTGTTTCCTGGATGTCATAGCTCAAAAAGTAGTACTAACTTTATGCAGGAGAGATACTTTAATCTAGCATGAGTCAGTGTAAACACCAACAGTGTTCTGCTTCACTGTTGCTGAAATGTTCCTTTTGGTTCCTCCTAAACCACTTTCAAGTCTCAGACAGCAAACAGAGCCTAAAGGCCTGATTTCTGAAGGTAGCCTTCACATACAAGAAGGCATCTATTTAGGATATCAAAGTATGTAGGTGTTTTTAAAAACAAAGAGAAATAACTCCATTAGTTATGCACAAACAGTACTCGCAAGCACCCTGCCTAAGCCTGGAGGCATGTAAAGTCCTCAGATTGAAGTTTGTTCAGGATAGGCTATGTACAGAGCAAGAGCTACTGAGAAAGACACTGGGAGATGTTTGGGCAGCACCAGCATTCCTATGTCTCTGCCCTGCCTGGACTGCTGCCAGGTGAGCTCACCCACTTTTCAGTCCATGACTTCACCACAGTGATCCACTGCTCTTGTGGCAATGCTGAGCTGTTGTGTCCCTATTTGACACAACAGTAGGGACTGTTGTTAAAGTTAAAAACAACTTTTAAGGCATGGCCTGATTTGTAATATAAGTTGGTTTTAAACCTGGCTTTAGAGGTACTTAGAGCATATCTAGC